CGTGCTCTCTCTTTCTCTCTCCCTCCCTCTCTTTTGCTCTCATTCCTGTAGAGTGATTAATTACACCTGGTCTTACAGTAGTACTGCTTAGCTTTGAATATTTTCAGACACAGCTATTGCAATAATGGATTGGTCTTGGGGTGAAAGGCCAGAACTCATAACACAAGTGAGCACACAGTCAGCAAAGTAAATGTATAATTGAGAATAAGCAGAACTGTGATCTATTATGAAATTACATTTGATAAAGTTTGATAACCATTTATTTCAAAAGAAATAACGTACTGAGATTTGAACACTGTATTATAAGTCATGGTGGTAAGAAAATGGGCAACTATGACATAAATGTTAAACTGAAATATTTTTGTTTTTTTTGGTTTCGATAGTTCTCTCTCTCTCTGTCCCTCTCTTTCTCTTGCTCTCGTTCCTGTAGCGTGATTAATTACATCTGCTCTCACAGTAGCACTGCTTAGCTTTGAATATTTTCAAACATGGTTTTTGCAATAATGGAATGGCCCTGGGCTAAAAGGCCAGAACTCATAACACAAGTGAGCACACAGTCAGCAAAGTAAATATATAATTGAGAAGAAGCAGAACTGTGATCTATTATGAAATTACACTTTGATAAATATTTCTTCCTAAAGAAAGAACATAATGAGATTTGGACACTGTATTATAAGTCATGGTGGTAAGAAAATTGGCAACTATGACATTAATGTTAAACTGCTTTTTATTTTTATTTTTGTTTCAATAGTTAAAAGAAGTGGTTCTAAAAAGTGGCAAAGTCTTGAGAGCTGACGTCTGTGTTATTGGCATTGGTGAGTCTGTGTGATTATTGAAATTTGGCTTCTCATTTTTCTTTTTTGCTCTCAGTTTCCCATTTCAGGTCCCATTGTAGTCTTGGCTACAAAATTAAATAATACATCTTTTTTTTTAAGGTTTTTGAAATAAATCTCTGCATTTGTTTGATCTAAAATACGGTAAAAACAGTAATATTGTGAATATAATTTTACTATTTAAAATAACTGTTTTCTATTTTAATATTTTAAAACGTAATTTATTTCTGTGATTCTTTGATGAATAGAACGTTCAAAATAACAGCATTTCTTTGAAATAGAAAAAATCTGTAACATTCTAAAAGTCTTAACTGTCACTTTTGACCAATTCAACACATCCTTGCTAAATAAAAGTATTAATTTCTTTAAAAAAATTTCTGACACCAAACTTTTGAACAGTAGCATGTGTGTGTGTGTGTGTGTGTGTGTGTGTGTGTGTATATAAAAATACATTCACTGAACATAGTTCAGCATCATTACTCCAGTCTTCAGTGTCACATGATCCTTCAGAAATCAGTCTAATATGCTGATTTGCTGCTCAAGAGACATTTCTTCTTTTTATCAGTTAAAAATAGTTGTGCTGCTTAATATTTCTGTGGAAACTGTCACACATTTTTTCAGGATTCTTTGATGAATAGAAAGTTCAAAAGAACAGTATTTATTTGAAATATAAATATTTTGCAACATTCTAAAAGTCTTAACTGTCACAATTCAACGCATCCTTGTTAAATAAAAGTATTAATTTCTTAAAAAAAATATAAAAAAATCTTTCTGCCCCCAATCTTTTGAACGGTAGTGTATATATATATACAGTAAAACAATTATGAAATACAAAACAATTCATGAAACAAAGCAAAGCAAAGATTTAAAACACATGTGACAACATGCCTCAATGAAAAATACAAATTTGTGCCGGGGTCCTGATCATAAGCGTGTATGTATGTGTTTTCAGGCTCCAGTCCAGCCACAGCATTCCTGAAGCAGAGCGGAGTGCACATGGACTCCAAAGGATTCATCCCAGTCAACAAGGTTCAGTCATTCTGCACTGTTGTTCCATATGTACTGTACATCTGTTACTGCATCTTATAGCACATTTACCGTATATCTTTTGCCATTCGGAATGTGTGTGTCTCTGCAACCTGTGATAATCTGCCCATGCTTATGTCTACTGTATCAGTGATAAATTGTTGTTTTAGTACAATGACCTGTAGTATTTCATGATTATAAGCTACAAAGCATGAGCACATACAACGCGTATGTAAACTTATACCTTTATCCCTTTCAGACCATGCAGACGAACATTGATGGGGTTTTCGCCGGCGGTGACGTGGTAACGTTTCCTCTAGCTTTACGTAGCAATAAGAAGGTGAACATACCCCACTGGCAAATGGCTCACGTACACGGTAAGACTATTCCTGTGCGTATACCAAAGATTCCTTTTTTTATGAATAATGTTTAATTTTTCAAAATTTTCTGTCTTCCACCACAGGTAGGGTGGCTGCCCTTAGCATGATGGGAAAGGCCTCAGACATTAAAACGGTGCCTTATTTCTGGACAGCCATGTTTGGGAAAAGCATACGATATGCAGGTAATTACATACTTCTAGCACTACAAATATACATAAAAAAAACCATTGAAAAACAATGAAGTTTCAGCTTCAGTGCTCCTCTGATGCATCTCAAGTGCTTTAAATGCTGTTGTCAAGGTTATGGAGATGGCTTTGATGATGTCGTCATCCAGGGGGATTTGGATGAGCTGAAATTTGTGGCATTCTACACAAAGTGAGTTGATTTGATTCTTATTGTCTCCAAATATGATCAAGCCATTTAGAGTTATTAACATTATCACATCAAAATCAGTTCTGATTTAGATCAGGGATGTGATATACTATTAGTAGTATATACTGTATACTATTGCAATATTGCTGCTAAAGTGAAATGAATAAATAAAATCAAAGTGAAAAGAGATCTTAATCGTGCAGATGAAAGAAATAGATCGAAATAATAACCAGATTTATTGGGAGTCACTTGCTAAGGCAAATATCACTGTTATAATTGCTTATATATAGAGTTAGTGTTTTATGCAAACATATTGCAACACACTCTTAAAGGGATAGTTCACCCAAAAATGAACATTTTGTCATTTACTCACCCACATGTTGTTCCAAACCTGTATGAAATTCTTTCTTCTGTTAAACACAAAAGAAGATATTTTGAAGAATGTTAAAACTCTTCCCCCGCCAATGACGAGTTATCTCATCTTTTAGAAGAAAACGCTTCCCCGCCAAAGACAAGTTTTTACGGCTTTTCGTGTTTTCATTGTTATACACTCGGGGGCGCTATTACACATCTTCTGAACGAGTACAAAAACACCTTAGCAACTGCTTAGAAATGCCCTGGCAACCACTTGCATTGTGACTGTGAGTTTTGCATGGACAAGCACTACTCAGTTTAGTTCAGAAAATGTAAAAATGTATTATTATATGATTTATAGAATTATTTAATATTATACTATATAACTGCTGTTGTACTTACTGATATTTGACTTCTTACTGTATTTCCTGTGCAGCTGATGCAAGCTGTGTGTTTAATCTGCTGTGATTATAGGAGTGAGGAGGTGGTAGCCGTGGCCAGTATGAACTACGACCCCATTGTGTCACGGGTTGCAGAAGTCTTTGGCTCTGGAAAGACGATTAGGAAACGTGACGTGGAGTAAGTACATTTTTTCTAGTTTCACAGAAAACAACAGACGTAGTAAGATGTTCCATGGTTTAAACATGTCAATACAAAAGTGACAGGTCAGACTTCTTTTCAACATTGACAGTATTAAGAAATGTTTCTTGAGCAGCAAATCCGCATATTAGAATGATTTCTGAAGGATCACGTGACACTGAAGACTGGAGTATTGATGCTGAAAATTCAGCTTTGCGTCACAGGAATAAATTACATTTTAAAATATATTCAAATAGAAAACTGTTATTTTAAATTGTAATAATATTTCATAATATTGCTGTTTGAACTGTATTTTTGATCAAATAAATGCAGCCTTGATGAGCATAAGAGACTTCTTTCAGTTTACTATACAGTGCATGGGAAAATCCCCATTACAATGAATTTATTTTTGCCTCATTAATAAGTTTGTGTGGAAAAATGACCTACATTATTTTGCATTGTCCTACATAACAAGACCTGTTCACACACCAGTGTTTTTTTTTTTATTATTTACATACTATTGCAGTTTTTATTAATATTTTGAATGAGCTTTTCAATGTTTTAAGTTTTTATTGTAATTTGTTTAATTTGTTAGTAATTTTGTAATGTGCTTTTGTAATTTTTTTTACATTAAAAATATTATTTAAACATTTAATATGACTATTTTTTAGGTTTCATTTATTTTTCTTTCACTTTTAGTGTTAGTTCAGTTTGAGTTTTTCAGTAAGTAATGTTACTTAAATTTGAACTTTCAAATTTCAGTTTCTAATTTCCATTTAGTTTAAGTTTTCAACTATTATTTTTATTTTATTTTATTAAAATGTATTTTGTTTTTATTTCAAATTTCAGTTGAATTTAATTACATTTTAATTTAATTTAATATTTTGATTAACAAAAATATTTTTAATAGTTTTAGTTACCGGACACACATTCTATGCTTTTGATCCTTCTTAACTAGAAAAGACAGTAACCGATGTTTCAAATTCTGCATTGTATTATTTTCCCCTACAGGACAGGAGACATGTCATGGCTGATCGACAAAGGCTCGCAGTGAGGATGTGATCGGCTCAGCACAGCAAGCTCCTTGAGTTTTTCTTGCCAAACTTGGACGATCACCTGTAACAGACGTAGTCTTAGTGCTGCAGCTGCAGTTGGTTAAGTGGGACACTAGATGGGAGACGTACACTGTCCTAACCCGAGCACCTGGGCCGTGCCGAGGACATCGTCCCCATGAGGTGGAACCTCTCCAGGCCTGGATCCGTTCACAGCACTAACAAATGAGCCATACCTGGTTTTTTACCCTCTCTACTAGATGGGACAGTTCTCTCTCTCTCTTGTGGGTTGGTCGAATCTTTTGCATGAAGCATCTGCCTGTACACAATGTTCACGGGAGAGCGGTTAAGGGGAATTGTCATATTTTATTTTGTACATGTAACTTTGTATATAGCTATTAACTGAAGATGCATTCAAACAATAAGACTGCACTTTTTTCTACCGAACCTCTGCTACTGAATAGCCAGGCTACAGGAATGAGAACAGAGCTGATGTCTGGCTCACATCGAAATACGCAGCTTCGCTTGTGGCAGTTTGTAGATGTAGAGAGAGCAGATGCATGATAATTCATATGCATAGTGCATTAGTTTTCATTAAGACTCTCCCAAAGGATCTTAATGTGGGATCATTATTCAGGGAAGGTAACAAGGTCCATATGTCAATGTCTATGAATATAAATCAAATATGATATATGATATAGTGTTATCATATATCAAAATTCACAGGTAAATGGGTGAATCTCACGAAACCAAAATCAAAAAGAAATTATATATATAT